ATATCACACGCGTTGTACAGTTTCCAAGTCCTTTAGCCTTTGCATAAGCTTTTATCATACGTAACATTCAATACGTATTGTATTTTTAGCTCAACAATTTTCATTTGCAATTGACGCTTGCATAGACGCGCTCCTAGACTCTTTCTGCATCACCTTGGTATACTAGTTCATCAAATGGTCAACAGGCGAGTTCTTGGTGAGGCTTCAACTTCTTATAAATGCCCTGCTCCAGGCTGCATTCGCACATTCGGTACTACACAAGGACTGAATTCTCATCTACGCAATGCTGCAAGCTGTAAATGGTATAAGTTAGGGAAGGGAAGAGAGCTGGATAGCATGGATGATGAAGGTACAAGTGGATTTGAGATGTGAGGGACTACCAGATGGGATAGCGGATGAGGTGGATGATGATTTATTTCAGTTGATACCTTTGGGGCCTGATAGTGAAGTTGCAGTATCAATTTCTTGTTACGTTCTTTACATTATTTCTAGTTCATGAAATACACAACGAAGATAACCAGAACATGATGGACATAGACCAGGAGCAGGAAGAGCTCACAGCGGGTCCGTCTAGGCACAGAACCGCTTTAGCAGAGGAAGATGCGCGTGTCACAGAGACTCATTCTACTGCTGGGAGGGGTCATACGCATGGAGGAGACAGTGTATGCTAAATGGCGGACACAATTTGGATTAGGTGATGGAGAGGAGGTGGAATCAGGTCGTTCTGATGATGAAGATGAAGATGGTAATTTATTCTACCCCTTTGCATCACGACTGGACTGGCAGGTAGCATGTTGGGCTGTGCAAGAGGGAATAGGGCACAAAGCATTTGACAGGTTGTTAGCTATACCAGGGGTATGTCAACGTACATATTTTCTATCAATATCATGGCTGATTTTTTGCAAATAGGTTAGAGAGCGTTAGGACTTGCATATCACAATATCAGAGGACTCCATCAAACCATAGACAGCATCCCTCCTCGAGCTAAATGGCAATCAACTTACTTGGCCTTCAATGATACGCCTCACTATAAGCATGAACTACACTATCGAGATCCTTTGGAAGCCATTCAAACGTTGCTGGGCAATCCTGCTCATGCTCAAGATATTGTCTATAAGCCTTCAAAGATATTTACAGACTCTTCTCATTCTACCCGCATATTTAATGAATGTGGACAGGGCGTTGGTGGCATGCAGTCCAGGTGAGCGTCTTAATATTGATTACACTGCTATAACAACCTAAGTATGTTTTTTACAGGATAGACTTCCTCAGGGCGCATCTGTAGCTCCTGTAATTATTGCCACAGACAAAACTCAGCTGACCCGGTTTTCTGCATCCAAATCAGCATACCCCGTCTACCTCACTCTAGGCAATATACCTAGAGCAATACGACGGAAATCCAGTCAGCACGCCTGTATTCTTATAGGGTATTTATCTGTGGATAAAATCCTAAAGGAGGAGCTATCTGCAAGAGAAGTCTCTTCCAGGGTACAGCGTCTCTTCCATGACTCAATAAGGATCATTTTGGAACCGCTGAAAGAGGCAGGAAGAAGAGGAATAGAGGTGGTGGGTGGAGATGGTCTTGTTCGCCTGGTCTTTCCCATTCTAGCTTGCTATGTGGCGGATTATCCTGAGCAATGCTTGGTTACCTGTACCAAGTACGGTACTTGTCCCAAGTGTAGGGCTAGAGCGGATGAATTGGCTGAAATACAACATTTTGCCAGACGTACTCAACCTTGGACCTCATCAGTAATTGACCATGCCAACATCTCCACAAAGACCGACTCTGCCTTTCGTAAACAGTGCATGTCTCAGGATGTAGCTGGAGGGCGTATTTGAACCATTTTGGCTGGACTTCCCTCATTGCGATATTCACTTGGCTATCACATCTGACGTACTTCATCAACTGTATCAAGGGATATTCAAGCACATGGTCGAGTGGTGTCAGGAGCTTATGGATGAAGAAGAACTGGATCACAGACTTAGAACTCTCCCTCCTTCTTATGGCGTCCATCACTTCCATAAAGGCTGGTCTGCTTTGGGTCAAGTCGGTGGAAAAGAGAGGAAAAATATGGCTAGAGTGCTATTGGCTTGCTTAATTGGCAAAGTTCCAAGAGGCGTCATTCAGGCATACCGTGCCCTCCTTGATTTCATTTATCTTGCCCAATATCCCACTCATGATGACGACACTCTGGAATATATGCAACAGGCCTTACAAGATTTTCACCTTCACAAGGAAGTCATCATTAATCTGGGTATCCGAGACCATCTCAATATTCCCAAATTCCATTCCTTGCAACACTACCTGGAGAACATACGCAACTTCGGAACTACAGACAACTATAACACGGAGATGTTTGAGAGGTTTCATATTGACTTTTGTAAAGAGGGGTGGTACGCTTCCAATGGAAGAAATGAAAGGCCTCAAATGATCTCTTGGCTAACTAGAAGAGAGAAAGTAGCGTCATTTCAAAGCTATCTCAAGATGTCTATGGAGGATGAAGAAGAAGAGTTTTCCCACTCAGGTTTAGAGATCATAGAGTCATCCTCACTAAACGTCCTCATCGCCTTCACCAAAATATCTTGGACGTCATGCAGAATCATTCTTGCAAAGGCTTCAAGAAAGATCTCATCACCTATCTCAACTCTCAGTTGGCTCACTCTCATTCACGCGGGCAGCTCAGGAACATGGATCTTCCTTTTAGTCATATTGATATCTATCATGGATTCAAATTCTGTCTAGAGTCATTAGGCAATGACGTTGACTTTGATCAATTGGAGGAGGCAGATTTTGTCAAAGCACAGCCACCTGTTTCTCATAAAGCTGGACGCTTTGATACAGTTGTAGTCATGGATGATCCTGACTGTGAAAGCACTGGTTTAACAGGTGAGTAATATTATGATATATCTGTTGAAAAATTGTATGAAAATTTCAAAACTATAGGAACACGTATTGGAAGGTTGAAGATTATATTTCGTCTGCCACAACAAGTATATGGGTCTATTCAACCTGCATGGACTAAAGACCCTTTGGCATATGTTGAGTGGTATACTCCATTGAAATCTGCAGCAGAAGACTATCATGAGATGTATACTGTCAAGAAACCTTTACTTTCTTCAGATGGTTCATTGCCAGGTAAAGTTATTCCACTGTCTTGTATTAGACAGACATGTCAGCTTGTTCCGAACTTTGGCACAACAACCATTCCTATAGATTGGACTTCAGATAATGTATTAGATAAATGTGATACCTTCTTACTTAATTGTTTTACCTCCAAATATGCTTACCAAACTTTATGGTAATATATAGACCTTCATGATTTCTATATTGGTCTCTATGGCTATCATAGCTGGCCATAGACTGTGTAGAGCTATGACCCACTATCACAACTATATAGAGGATGATTATCTATATAGAGAAACAGTTTTTCCTGATGCCAATCCCTTAATTTGCGCATGATGGTCGGTGCGTTTCACGGTCATGCTCACAATCGAAGGTGCCAACTAGATTGGCACCCGATGTACATTGAAGGAACTGGACTAACTGAGGGTGAGGGATGCGAACATGTATTCTCCTCTTCAAATGAACTTGCACGAGGCACAAGACACGCGTCTCGATTCCATCGACATCAAACACTTGAAGAGCATTTTACCTTCTGGGACGACGACAAATACGCAGCATTGAGTAAGTACTGTCTTGTTTTACATACTACACACCACTACTAATACTTTTACAGGCCAATTTTTACGAAACCACTATCAGGAAGCACTGTCTCTCGTACACACGCTCACGGCTGAACTTTTGGCTGTGAAACAAGCCCTCAACCTGACCGATGCTGATTTCATCCGGTTCCATGCTGATGAAAGGTCATACCTTGAATCTCCTAAAGAGCCGCCCCTCCAAGAACATCTTCAAATCCGCTATGTCCAAGTCCTCGATGAGTTAGCTGAACGGCGGTGGGTCCCACTGGTTCTTAAGTCATATTTCATTTCCGTCACTTACATTATAACAGGTTAGAGTGGGTCAGAGCTTGAGAAGCTGCCAATCAGGCTTTGACCGATGTCGCCATTGGTAATCTACAACAAATTAACCTTTCTATTTCTCAAGCACGAATTCGAGTTGATGCAGCTTACTCTAAGCTCCAGAATGCCGAGGCCTTCACCAGCCATATCAAAAATCAGCTTGCGATAGAAGAGCGCTGGATAGTAGGAGATCACAATTATATGAAATACAAGGAAGAGGCATCACTACAGAGGTATCGTGTCGCTCTTGATGAGTTAGAGCGTCTTGTTGTGATGCGTCTATTTGAGTTGTCCAAACTCTCACTTTCTGGCACCGGTAAGCTAACATTACTGTACTACATCGAATTTCAATGGTAACTAATCATTATTGGCAGGATACAAGCTACGGCAACAGATCGGAAAGGCATTGCAGAGACGCTCGGACATGATTCGGAACACCATCAATAAGTATAATAATCAGGCTGTTGCCCTTGATCCCCCCCGGCCGCAGTTATCATGGAAGGATATAGCTGACTACAGCTTCCTGGGAGAGTTCGATCTCCTTCGTTATTCTCGCACCGACATTCATGAAGTTGACTGGTCCCACAGTCCTGCAACTCCAGTGAATCCAACCACACCCCCATTCTTACCTGTGCCATTGTGTCCTACTGGTGCTCGGATTCAATGTTCGGCTCACGCTCCTGCACAACTCCAGCGCGAATTTGTTCTTGCTGCAGGATCTTCCACTCCATCCAAGTCATCAGCTGTGAAGCAAGCTACTTCTTTGGCCGCTGGAACCACCCAGATGAAGCAGCGTCGACACGCTGAGGCCTTTTCATTACGCAAGACAAATCCCAGCTGTTCGGATGATAAGCTTTTCAGTCCCCCACTAATCAGCATCGGGCCCAATACCGATGCTGTACTTGATTGGTTTAAGATCGGGGACCAAACAATTCTGAAGCTCCGTGAGCTCATTACCACCATGCGCAGTAGCCGCTGGGAAACTGTCTTGAGGTCCCCCAAGTGGGATCTTACCTATGAGCAGGCTTCCAATTTGACAATGGCACTTCGTGCCGATTTGAATATCCCTCAGACAGTGGTTGGTGTGCGTAAGGTAATATGTTGCAGTATCTTCTTGACATTAAATCTTACTGATACACATTGTAGATTTCCGCACTACTTTCGGTGGTTCTCCAGGTGCTCGGCACCCTTGTTTTTATTTGCGCACTTTACTTCTTTTGTCTGGTCTTAATCTTCTAGATCAGTTACCTGCCATTTTGTAAGAGTGCGCTCATCTACAATGTTTCCATTTTCATTTTGTACGTAGATCCCCATTGGTATAGTCTGAATCTTATTTCACAAATTCACCGTCTATAAAGCGACTCATAAATGGATTATTTTGCCTGCAGCTCGACGCTATGGTTAATCAGACCCTCTCCATGGCAAAGAACCGTGTGCAAAGCCTGTCATGAATTCGTCCAAAGGTCCATCTCAGCAAGGAAGCAAGAGCTCTTCTGACAACACAACGTCGCCAGAAGTCTCAAGGTTTCAGGACAGCGCTTCACGAGGCTTGGCTCCATCTTGATGAATCCATGAAGACAATAGCTTCCTCTCACCACAAGAGTATCCGACGCGTGCAAAATGACTTGTATGTGGGCCATGCTGCATTGCGCTTCAAGCGCACGAAATCAAGCCCATGGAATGTGTTTTGCTGGAAGAAACATCAGCAAGTGACGGATGAAAATTGTATGTTATATTATTTTTCTTGGTTCAACTACTAATGGTGGATCTTAGCTCAAGTGCGCTCTGGAAAAGCAGTCCTGCAAGACCTTCTACACAACTATGCTGACGAGTACCATGAGCTCTCACAAGAAGACAAGGACCAACTCATCAAAGAATACGACGAGAACAGGGAGCACAAGACCAAGGGTAAGAGAATATCGTTGAGGTCGAAGATCAACGATATCATGCAAACACTTAGGGCTGTTGAGACCGAGGTATTATTCAAGTTTACAAAGTGTCTGATATCAAATCAGTTGATTAAGCTTCAATGCCGCACTGGTGTCGAATCAATTGTTTACTCAACGCGAGGCTCTACTGACCTCGCACTAAGAGGTATCACATTTAATACCGAAGGAGTTGATAATTTCATGGAGTCGACGATGAACATCGATAGCCAAGACCTTATGAGTAAGATGGAAGGATATGCCATGCAAGGCATGCAAGGCAAGTTTTTGTCAGTCTTGATATTTCAACATCAAACACTTATGATCTTATGGCAGGCGCAGCCAAAAGTCATCAGGACTGTTGTTCAAAGGCTCGTGGTGAAACCAGACATATCATCAACCAGAAACTTCGTAAGTCATTTGATATCTAAACTAGTTGTATTCTAACAATCATTTTCAGAGGAAATTACCGGTAATCCGCAGGCCACGATGCAATGGACAGAATATTGGCGCAACATTGTTCAACGCTATCACATCGTTTGTGAGGGCTGGCCCTCAACTGTCCCCTTCAAGAACTTGAGCGAAGCGTCTAGTTCTCTTCCCGAGCTCAAGATGCTCCAGGACAAGTGGGAAAGTGGCGCCATTAAATGGAAACACCTGGAGGAGGAAGAATATCAACAGCTTCTTCAAGAGCGCCTTCAGAATATTGACAATGGGGAGATCATTGAGCGCACCCGTCGTCAGCACTCAGACAAGGGAAAAAGTGTACCCAACCATCGGACAACCCTTCTACACATAAGAAGAAGGCATACAAAAGCGCGGATACTGTTGAGAGTGATGAGGAGCGCGATAGTACGCCACACGCTCCCTCATCAGATGCCTCTATTTCAGCACCTTCGGCTGTTTCACAAGACATCCTCGAGCCATCTATCTCTACTTCGTCTGCTTCTGGAGCTGCACCTGCTAATATTGATGATCAATTTCCCCTCTTTACTGACGCTGAATTGGACTGAGCTCTCGAAAAGTTAGACTCTATGGTCGCCAGTGGTTTGATTCCTGACTTCTTTTCATCTGATTTGGCGATGCCCGCCCAGAGTTACAATTCGTCGTTTTAGAGCTTATCTCTGAAGATTTTGCCTTACTTAGACTTACTCTTGACTTTGCTCATACACATGGCCTCCTATACCGGTAGAATGAGAATTGATTGTCATTAACCAGAGTTTGTACATCATATTGTAAGGGCAAGGTGGTACTACAAGACACAATGAATAGGGGAACGAATGAGAACACTTGCTGGTACTGCTTAATGTAGAGGTCATCTGCGCCAGGGAGATTTGCACAACTGGCAAGCTTGAAAGCAAGCGCCGTGTTATTGAGGGTGGTCAAAATGTACAGAATGATGGTCTGCTCGTGAGGTCATCTGCGCCAGGGAGATTTGCACGACTGGCAAGCTTGAAAGCAAGTGCCGTGTTATTGAGGGTGGTCAAAATGTATGGAATGATGGTCTGCTTGTGAGTTCATCCACGCCAGGGAGATTTGCACGACTGGCAAGCTTGAAAGCAAGCTCTGTGTTATTGATGGTGGTCAAAATGTATGGAATGATAGTCTGCTCGTCAAACTCACCCAAGCTTGTTGTATTATCTCGCATTGGGCTCCCTCTATCCTTGGCAGTGCATACTTGCCTGTACTAATAGCTTCCACTTGTTAAACGAGACAGCAGGACAAGCCAGAGACCTTTCTGGAGGAGGAACCACGGTTATACATCGAGTAGGTCCACTTATAGAACACCGGCAAGTGGCTTGACGTTGAAGAGGACGATGAGGAGGGAAAGAGAACGGCATGGGAATAGTTTCTAGGAGGAGCGGGAGGTTTGGCAAGGAAGCGGGGGTTACCGGATAAGTAATAGAACGGAACGGAACGTACTTACCCGAATTACCCTGTGCCGATATTTATATGCAGGTATATCTAAGGACATCCTGCAGTATTTGGGGCAGGATTTATCGCTGGTGTAGAGGATTTGAGCAAAAGACTAATGTGATAATTGGCAAGACACGTTATCGGCTACTATTATTATAGTTACTTATTGGGAAGGTCAGGTGGTAGCATCAGTCATAAATGAGTCACAAGGGTGAATTTGCTACAAAAATGCCTACTCCTCCTTCAGTTGGCCGAAAATAGGGATTCTGAGTAGACCATTTTGACATTATAGTACATATCCACAAGATCCTAGAACAGATTTAGCTCATTCTAATTTGCAACAGAGTAACGAGCCAAAATCATGT